AAACACAGAGTGATCACACGAATTTCTTTCACCAATAATAATCAATATGAACAACGGTGCATTCTGAGTGCACATAATAATAATAATAACACAATAATGAATGATAATAATAAAAATAATAATAAGCAGGGAACGGGTCTGTGATGGATTATCAATAATAATCTTATAGATCGCACTTGATTTGCAGTGATACGGAAATTAATTCGATATTCATACTATTCATGTGAATAGTCGTGCCCCTTAACCTTCACCGCGCACCTCTTCAACTTTTCGATAACTGATTTGATAACCAATCCAGTCCTTCGTATAGCCCATTACCTTGTGTTGCACATGTTGCTTGTATGTACCACTGAAAATCATTCAATACATTCCACTCATCAATTCATAATTCGCAAATTATTCCAACATCAATCTCCCGTCCACCTCATCGACATCAAAAGCAAATCAATTTCTATTTCACCCAAACTGTAATTTCACCACTCTTCTCGAATGCACTAAATTCTCATTGCTAATCACGTAATCTACTGACTACGACTGCGTTCCCCGATTCCACTCCATCAATCTCAACTTCAAATGAACCACAAAATGAAAAACAATAACAACAACTCATTACTCATATAACGAATTGCCCTAGTTTGTTCAGTCAATTATCCATATCACTCAAAAATACCACAATTCTCGACTAAGTCATAACAAAAATTCTTCTACCCTCACAATATCAATCCAAAAATTCAAAAGCTTAACAACAGTCATGCTCAATTAATGGATGATCCTAAGCTGACCCCTACAAGAGCACTCAAACCAATTTCATATCAGCAAACCAAAGCAATGATAATACTAATGAACCATCAAATGAAAGTAAGCGAGCAAACCTGTCGAGAGCGAAGATTGTGTAAACCAAGTTTGTCAGTCAGCTCAGCCGCACTCATCGCATTCGGAAGATCCTGTTTGTTTGCAAATACCAACAGTGTCGCATCCCGGAGTTCATCCTCAAAATCAAATTGTAATTGCAATCCAATTCAATTTCTATTAGTTTACGGCTAACTACTCAAACGAAACGAAACGAAACATTCCGCATTGCTTTTAATGAAGTTATCAAACAATTTCAAATCGTTTCCATCAGCCATTCACTTCAGAATCTCACTAACGAAATCAGTTTTTGATCAGTGAAGTCCGTTGTTTTCCTCGAATGCCGCATCAATTGATTATTTTAACAGAATAATAGTGACTTCATACCAGAAAAAAAAAAGAATACATTGATTGATTAACTGATGAATTACCTCATTTAGCATTTTGTGCAGTTCCTCACGACTCTCATCAACGCGCTCCCTATCGTTACTGTCCACCACGAATATCAAACCCTGAATGAACGATAGCTCAATTTCATTACTAACCACAAGTCACATATGATACTCTCATTCAAATCGCATTACACTCGTTCTTCGAGTTTCAGTTGATTACTCTTGAATCGCAATTTGCGACCGCAATCGTATGTATATATATTCAATAAACAGTCGATCAAATGATTTGAAAAAAGGATGAAACCATCAAAACAAACAAAAAAATGAAACTGGAGAATTAATTACCTGAGTATTCTGGAAATAATGTCGCCACAGTGGACGAATTTTATCTTGGCCGCCGACATCCCAAACAGTGAACGAAATATTCTTATACTCTACTGTTTCCACATTGAATCCTTTAAAAATAAGCAATACTCTGCTTCTTTTTAGTGATTTAAAGCTTCAGTATCATCGCAATAATACGATTCATTACAAAGAATTATGTTACTCTAATCAATTCTAAAGATGAATTACTTGACAATTCCAAAAAAATTAGCTCCTCTTCAAAATCAACGAACACTGATATTCACAAACTATCTTATGATGACAGGGAAAAGGGCATTTGTTTAGGCAAATCAGTGCAAATTCGAAACTCACTTACCAATGGTCGGTATGGTGGTGACAATTTCGCCGAGTTTCAACTTATACAAGATGGTCGTTTTACCGGCTGCATCCAATCCGACCATAAGAATGCGCACTTGTTTCTTGCCGAATAAACGACCAAATAAATTCGAGATCGTTAAACCCATCGCCTCTGGTCAACCTGATTTTTGATGCTCACAATTAACCACAGGTTACTGACAACGAGTAAATCAAAGCAGCGCGATACAACACGACCAGCAATGTCATTGCTAAACAGACACATGAATAATACAAGTTTGTGTCTCACTGAAATGCTTATCACATGACGATCCTCGAACCAAGATCATCCATCTAACATACATTTAAACATGGTCAAAACAACGTCCCATACAGTGTTTGCTCAAGGTTTTAGTGTTTTCGAGTGTACATAAACACATTCACAACGACAACATTTCCCAGTATTCATTAGTGATTAAGAAGCCGAAATGAGTCTACTTCAAATGATTTCGATAATTTCACACCAATGATTTTCTAATAACTTTCGATACATCATATCAATCAATGAAACGAGATATCTTACAACAAAGGGGGGTCGAGGATGAGATGGAAGGACCCCAGTTGCAAGTTAACATGTGAAAGAGATGCTCGCGAGTTTTTTCGCAACAACTACTCGGGGCTGAATAAATTAGTAAATTAATTTCAAAACAGATTTAACCGACGACGCTCGATAAACGCCACAAACGTTTATATTCATGTCCATACAATACTACTGACAGTTAAATGAGCCACACTATGAGCAATTGTCATTTTCACGAAGTAATACGAAAAACAACGAATATACACATAAGACGTGTTACTCATAAGGTACTTACCTTCAATAATACATATAGTAATCTTAAAGTTTTACCTCAATAACGTTGTAATTATTCAATTACACGTCACAACGTCTTCCATTCAAGGAGAACGTTGTATGTTAATACATACACACACGTGTATAAATGAATAGAGTTCGTGCTGAGACTGACACATTTGGTGAATTGAGACTAAAATTTTCTATCACTCCAATGACGTTCTCATCTCATAAGTTCGCTTAGCTCA